GAGACAAAGGAAACAAAGCTGACTACACTGACATAGGACACAGACCTTCAAAATAAAACAGGAAACATGAGACGCAGACAAGACAATATAAACTTGACAACATAAGACACGCAGCATGAAACAGGGAGAGGGAAACTTAAATACAGGGGTAGAAAACACAAAGAGAAACTAATAAACAGATGAACTTAGCTACTCTAAAGAACTAAAACACAACATCCAAATAAACTAAAACTCAAAACGTTGGGTCAAAAGACCAGGAACGTGACACACTCTTCAGACTCCTTCAGAACGAACAAGTTCACTGGAAAACCTACAGGGGGGTCACGGTGTGATTGGTTGGAATAGCAGTGTGACCGAATCCTCTGCTCTGGGTCAATCCATCACAAGCTGCAGCTACACTTGCAAATGGACACACAATCACACTGGAGACACCTCGTGCACAGCTTCACAGAGGGAGAGACATGTAGACTGTTTTTGCTATGCAGTTCTGTGTGTCACCTCGATGCTGATCAATATTGCATCACGCAGGAACGGATATAAAGATTGTGGGAGGCGGATGAAGCGTGAATAAGGCAAAATGTTTACTGTGGGGAAGGAAACTTGAAGCAGAGTCAGGACAGGCTTCGTGGTCTGAACATCACGAGTGTCAACACAGGACTTCAGTACATCTGATGGTTGTTTTTGTCAAACATGACTGACCCACAAAGCCAAACGCTGACTCGGAAGTTCTTACAGAGGATGCAAGATGTTACAATTCAAATATTAAAAAACTATTTATTTTAATATGCACACAAGCCAACAAAAGGACGTTTTACAGCTTCATTAAAAAAGAAAACAAAAATGTCCCTGTTGGTGTACAGTTTGTCCACAAAAGTCTTTTAAAAGTCCTTAAATCAGGTTTTTAAATAAACATTTATTTTTTTCAGCAATCACAGACAAACCTGTTAGTTGTGAGAGATTCAGAGATATTTCTGTGGGATTTTAACAGCATACAGATGTGACCTGTCAGACATTTAAAAAATATATAAATAATATCCGACTGCTTTTCCAAGAAAGTTTAGCCCTGCGAGCTTGAACGAAAGAACGATGAGTGTCCCTGT